TGAGGCGGGTGACCGGCATGGCGGCGGCGAGCTCCGGTGGGTCGGCGAGGTTGCGGGATGAGCTCGCTGTCGGTGCTCGGGCAGGGGCTTGCGGGGCTCATCGGCTAGAGGTGAGTGACGGCGAGGCTGACCAGCGAGGCCGAGTCGGAGGCGTGGATGCGGCGCGGCGATGGAGGGAGGCGGCTGGGAGGTGGGTGGAGGCTAGGGGTAGATTAGGTTTCCAAAACAGCCAGGTGAGGTTGTCTATCTAATAGACATGGGCTAGGGTTGGGGGTTTTAGGACCCTCTGATCGCGATCCGACGGTTCCGATCAAGAGGGGGGTTAGGTGGGTCTAGTTGGCTGGTTGAGGGCTATACTAGAGAGGCCAAGGGCTGCAGGGGAGAAGAGAGAGGCCCAGCAATAGTTTTCGAATATCAAAATTGTCCGACCTTTTTTCGGCTATAGTGCTACTATAGGTATAACGATTGGGCTATCAAACAACATCCAAATGCGACGAAATTTGGTAGGCGGTCTACCTACAATACGAGACCGCACACCAACTTTCGCTCCATTCCAAGAACATTTTTCCACTTAGAAAATGATATTTCGGAGATGTCGCGGGCACGTGTGAGTGTGTCTAGTCTCCGAAAGGTCAACGAAAGGGACGGGGAGAACCGGTAACTACGAACAGATGCAAGTTTTGAAAACAATGATGACACGCAGTGCCGTTGCAACGCAAACGATGCGATGATGAATGCAACAAACAAACCAAACACACGACAACAACGAAAATAAATGGAAGGCATCTGGAGCGTCAGTCTCGAGGTGTCACCCTTCCCTAGAAGATTACTCTTGATCTCTGCTATGTTTTTCATGCTTTTGCTAAAAAATCCTTGAAGCTTTTTTACTCATATACCAAATTAGTATGACAACATCACACACCTCAAGCACATGGTAAAGGAAATGACATGCGTGGAAACACCATTTAAACATTGAATATGAATAAAAATGCAAAATATCATAAAGTTTGGAAGAAAATCTCAGATTAAGTAACAACAGTCAACAGAGATACACATGATGTAATGTACAAAATCAATTTTATTAAGATATAGAGAATTAAACTTGGTGGTATTCGATAAATTGGATCAATATTGATCATCAAATATCTTGGCAATGTGTGTGTGTGACTGTGTGTGTGTGTGTGTGTGTGTGTGTGTGTGTGTGTGTGTGTGTGTGTATATATATAGAGAGAGAGAGATACTATGCCCCAACCAACAAATTTCTAACCAAGAGTTGCGTAATGTTTTTTCTCATAAATTTTATGCAAGCACGAGCTGCAGTAATTACATACCTTTATGTTTTGAGAAATTTTCTAATTTGGTGAATGAGGAGTTTCAGATTCCCTGCTCAGCTGCTCTAGCATGATCCTGATCTCGGTTGCACAATTGGGATAATATAGAACTCAAGATCCTTGTCATGTTAGGGCTTTGTGAGATCGACACAAAACCTTGGTAGTAAAAGTTTGCTCCAAGTTTGTTATACACCTGTCTAGCAAGGGTTGTCTTACCTAACCTACCAGTGTTTCAACAGTAGAGACAACTTTGACCTGATTTGTCGATTCACCTCCCTTATCAATCAAC